GACTTAGCTCGGCCCTTGTGCTTCCGTCGATTTCTTTTCTCACGGACTTCGTGTGGCTTCAATATTTGTCTGTTTAGGTCCGTCTTTGGCTACACTGTTGGCCTCGGGGCTCTGGGTCCCCCTAAAATATGGCTGCTCAGCGCCGCTTTGGTGTATCGGAAAAAAGTGTGAGCTATTGGAGGGCGCAGAAAGGGAAGCTGCAGAGGTGTAATCCTCAAAAGTCGTTTCGTGGACAAAGTGTCGTTCATCCGCAGCTGGAGGATAAGCTAGCAGACTTTGTGCGGGAAGTTCTTGCGTGCTCGCTGCCAGTGACCGTGGATACCATTCGCAAGAAAGCCGTGGAACTCGCTCGAGAAGCTAGGCTCTCGAGAGAAGTTTCGCGCACCGAACTCTTGGGTACGTCGATTTATGCGACGCAAAGGATTTTCTCTCTGGTGGCGCACATCCATCTGTCAAAAGTCGCCGGAGGAGTTCGAGGACAAGCTCGTAAACTTTCAGCGCTTCGTGAACCGGTTTCAGGAGCAGAACGACTACATGGTAGGGCAAATTGGTAACGCCGATGAGACCTCCTTGTGGTTTGACATGCCTTCGTCGACCACAATCGCGCAGCGCGGTGCCAAGGATGTAAAGCTGTTGTCCACTGGCAACGAGCACTCGGGCTTCACCGTCGTGCTGGCATGCACGGCAGATGGTAGAAAGCTTCCGCCCTTCGTCATTTTTAAACTCAAGACAATGCCGAAGGAAGTGTTCCCGCCCGGTGTTGTCGTTCGTGTCAACAAAAAGTGATACATGAACGAGGCCATGATGCTCGAATGGATAAGAGTGGTGTGGAACCGTCGGCCAGGTGCACTGCTGAGTCTTCGCAGCATGCTGGTGTTGGATGCGTTTCGTGGCCACTTAAACGACGCAGTGAAATGCGCACTTGGCGACGGGAAAACGAACCTCGCCGTGATACCAGATGGTATGACGTCCACCCTCCAGGCGCTCGACGTTGTGCTAAACAAGCCGTTTAAGGACAGAGTGCGGCTGGAATACCAAATATATAGTTAGTTTTCTTGCAAGTTGCATACTATTAGCTCTGCAACAGGACATAGTAAAAACCTTCATCCTTTTGTCCCCCAACTTTTCATCTCTAAACTTCCATAATTTTTTTACCATCCTTAGTTCATAATGTTTCAAATAAGGTGTAGACTGCGAATAACTAATTAGAAAGCACTTGTAATGTAATGTAAAATATGTAATACGCGTGAAAAGTACTATACGTAAAAAGTCCATTTTTCACCAACCCTAGTAAAGGTTTACATAGTTTTTACTATACTATAAGTTATTGAAACTTAAACTAAATAATTGTATTTGTCGTACTTTGGAGAAAAAATTTGGCAAAATTTTATGCAAAACTGAGCACTTCAAGTGCCCGAAAAAGGAGGGTCACATTAAAAAAAAAAGGGCAAAATTTGTTTTGAGAAAAATGAATTTTAAAATTAAAATTGCATTTTTATTTATGAAAGACGTGATGAAATTTGCACACCAAGAACAATCCTTCTTGTAGTGGCCACTACAATACGCCATCACCACGAGTTTGTCCCTCGGCTTTTTAGAGCTGACTCCTCGGACATTTCGCTCACAGACGGGTCCATGAAACACTTGCCAAACTTCTGCTCTATCTGGCAGAGCCTTGTGCCAACTGCAAGCTAGGAAGTTTGACAAGACTACGAAATCCAAGTTAAGTCCAGCGTCATGTAATTTTGTGGAACGTTTGCCATTATGTATGATGGTATGTGGCACAATGTCGTCCCTGCTAAGTTTCCTCACTGCAAGCTCTTTTGACCTCGCAAGATTGGTGCTGACGTCGTCCATTGCGGCATCACGAACTTTCCGGCTGACGTGTGTGAATGACTTTTGGTGCATTAGCTTTTGCAAGCCAACAACTGCCGCAAATCGGACCAGCTGCTCGTAGCTTATTCCTACAGAGCGCGCCGCACAACGGCTTTAACTTGCGAGCAATGGCTATTTTCATTCATAGTGGAGATAATTACACGAAAAAGACATTGTTCAGCTGCGCTGCTCGAGAATACATGGACTCCGCAAATAGGCTTCATAGCACATACAGGCACGCAGCGGTCGATGGCTGTCCCAGATACGTACTATGTCGTAAGCCAGTCGCGGCGCTCGAAAAATGCGCAGAAGCTTGCTTCTTTTATTTTTTGCTCTGCATCAGCTAGGGAAACTGTTTTTTGAAGAGTGAGGCTCGACTCTTCAGCTAATGCAATCAACAATGGGAGCAGCGGTGTATTATCGGCGGCAAGGTGCTCGAAGACTGCACACTTTGGACCATTTAACAGGCACATTGCACTCTTTAGATGCAGCTTTAAAGCATTTTCAGTTAAGTCTCGACCTGTATTTTTTTTCATAACAATAGAGGTACTAATCTTGTCAAAACAGGTGAAAATAAAAAGCTAATTTCGCTAAAAACTTTTTCGACCAGCATCTCCCTTTAAAAAAAAATTACATTAACGTAAAGCTAGCACTACATCGTTTAGAAAGCTGGTTGTGAGCAGCTGCTGCTTTTGCTCTTTCCTTAAAACTACAGCAAAAGCAGCGTTCGCGAATCCATTCAAGCACAGCCGCACCTCTGGCGGTGGCTGCCGACTCCTTATGAAACTGAAACTAGAGTTACGTAACCATAAGAAGCTTTGAATTGCTGTAGTTACTCGCATAGTCGGGACACTTTTTTTTTTTTTTTTTTCGAAAGTCCGGTTCGAAGTTGGGGGTGCGCCAAACCCGGGGTAAAATTTTTGCAAATTTTTTGCTCTGTTCCTGCGCTTTAAATCTGCACATTTGTCGAGTAAAAAGCGACTTGGGGGGTGGGTATCAGTAATTGATGGAAAAGCAGTTTCTTTTTTTTCCCCTCATGGACTTTTTTTTGTCAAGTTTTTTTTCGACAGGCACGTTCGTTAGATCGTTGCACATTGTACTTCGAATTTTTTCTTTGTTTGCTCGTCAATTTGCCTTTTTTTTTTTTTCTTCAAGGTACGGGACGGCGTTCCAACTGTACCACTGAGGGGTAGAATCATTTCTTATTGTGGCGAAGTTCGGCGTGCACAAATTTTGCGCGGAATTAAAAAATACAAATTTTCCGCAAAATAGGGGGGTGCACCTAATATGGGAGTGTGCCCATTATGAGAGTAAATACGGCACTCTGATATTGAAGACTGCACGAGTGGAATGCATCCAAGTAAAGGCTTTTGACCCACCATCTCCCTCCGCCAAAGTGATGCCAACTGCTATTCTCCAGATTAACGTGCTAACGACCTTTTAATAAATGTTGGAATGCACGGACAGTTATTTTTATAACTACTTTGCATGCTAGTAATTATCCACGGTACTCTTAACGTCATTGCGCTCGGTGCGCACAGTGTTCGAAGCGCTGACTGCCTTGACTATTAAACAGTGCCAGGGCTCTGTGTGTGTTTGCGTGCGTGTGTGCGCGTGCTTGTGTGTGTGTTGAAAAGCGGGGTGCCTTCGGTCGCTAATGGTTCTAAAAAGCTTAAGGCGACCCCTGGTGACACCACGTGTGAAGCCGCTACTCGTGTCAAGGCTCAGTGTCTCTGTGTGCAGAAAGAGTTGCACCGCTTTTTTACGGTGTCGAGTGCCCCATCAACTTGTTTATTCATTGCTTTGTTCTTTTTACTCAGTCACCTAATTAAAGGTTGAAGGAGATCAAAAGTTTGAAGGGGATGATCGCATTTGACCCATTATCTGGCTGGCTAGCAGCTCTTTTTTCAGATTTCGTTGGGAAAGTCGCCGCAAGGTCACCACAGTAATGCGCGTTGCAAAACAATTCAGTGGATTCACACATGTTGTGTATTTCTCGCTTAGTAGAGCACCGCTGCGTGAAATTTTGAGGTGTAAGTTCTCAAACGTCGACTTCTCACTGACATAAATTGTTTACCCTTAGTGTCTCTTTCACCCTTTACTGTCTAATGTCTCGAATTCATGACATGCTTACTCGAAGTACTTCAGTAACTCGCGGAATGCGGGCTGCCTTTAATGCAGGCTGTTGAGTACTCGGGGAGGGAACATACCTTTCAGCATAAAAAATGTAGCACAGTCTTATGTAATGCACTTCATGCTAGAACCAATTGTGTTGTAGCTGATGGCGGAAAGTGCATGCAAGAGCGCTCGCTTCTTCGTTCTTTCTCGCCTGGTTGACACAAGTTCTATGTTCAATAAAATAATTTTGTTTATTTAGTGTGTGGTCAACACGTGGCACACATGTTGTGCAGTTCTGAAGTATGTTTTTTTATTCCAAGGTCCGGCCTTCCGTGACATGTAAGGAATTCAAGACGTACGATACTAAAAAGTATGCATTAAATGTGCATTGTAGTAGTTTAGCTGTGGAATCGCATAAAGGTTGCTATTTAAAGCTGGAAAATGAGTTTTCATTTTCTTCAGCAGTTTCATAATTCTGACATTAAGGCTTTGTTGCTCCAAGACATTGTGGTTCCACGCCATAGGGAATTTTCGGAACTGGAATGCTTCAAGATTTGGTAAACATTGAATGCACTCCAAATTGAATTCGATTATTTGAAGTGCTCAAATATAACCATGTGCCTAATTTTTGCTGAATCAAAGGTTTATAGCATTGGGTGTCTCCCTGAGCATTACTTCCATAGTAATATTCTGCATTGAATTCGTCCATCGGACCCTTTTTATAATTTGCAAGTGTGCTTTTTTGCAATGCATATTTGAATAAATGATGCCGGCACTTGTCATAGTTCAAGGCAGAGTCTCGGTTTTAGTTGAATGTGCTGGAGCTCCTCTATTGAGATTCTATATTAAAAGGAGACTCGACCTTTTTCATGTCGTTGTGTAAGCAAACCGCACTTGTCCAGGCTATTTGCACTAAATGACCAGCCACCATTGGAAAGCTAACTTTACAATTTGGAAAACACTTTATTTGTTGTCAATGTTGTAATATACTTATTGATGTTCCTTAGCAGGCCGTGGCCGGCAAGGAGATTTCTCTACTGTCCCAGAGCCTGAAGAAGGCTTCCATCAACGAGGAGGAGGAGCCAGTTGTAAATGCCCAGGCATTCTCTGCCTCTCTCCTGCCACCCGGGGTGCCAGACATCGATGCAGCCGACCTCAACGAGCCACAGATGTGTGCCCAGTATGCACAGGACATTTTCGACTACATGGCATCCCTTGAGGTGAGATGCGTATTGTTAAGCCATGCTGGGTAACCTAAAACACCGCATTTTCAAAGGGATACTGGAAAAAATGTACTCGCACTAACGAACTCGGATATGATATATCAGTTCTAATAAAGACAATAAGAAATACTTTTGCATAGTGTTAAAAATACTCTTACAACAAATTTTTAGGCATAATTAAGTTATTTTTGTATAAGATGCAACTACATTATGGTGAGGTATGAGTGTACATTTCAATGAAAACTAAACAACCAACAAGTGTTTATTGAAGTTCTGTAGTAAAAGTGGAGGCTTATTAGCTTCTCCTAAACTGAAGCATTCTCGGTGCTCTGAAAATGCTATACAGTACAACCTTGACAATTTGAGGATCGCTGGGCTGCGAAAACTTTCGATGTAAGTGCATTTTCCAATTAACCAAAATAAAAGGGAAAAAAGCCAGAAAAACTCGTTACAAAGAGAAATCGGTCATGTTTCATGCGAGACAAAAAAAAGTTACTTGAAATATGAGTGATGCTAGATTGTTTAGTACGGTAGCTGGCTGCCGCAGGTGCCATCTTCTCAAGCCTGCTCACACTTTGCATTTCACCACCACTGCACTCGAGAAAGCTTCGGGGAGTGTTCGTGGCGTCGACAACAGCCAACTAAAGCGGGTCACTGTCGTTACCGTCCTCTCGGACCAACCCACTGTCTGGACATAGGGCGGATATTCACAACTTGTGTTATTAGTAACCTGTACTGTGTTATAGACTCCGGGATTTGAAATTAACGCGCTGTTGCTGTACACCAGTGTCGAGTCATGCATATGGGTGCGATTTCTAAAACTCGTATGGAGCATACCAGACTTCATCCAATATTTGGCATTCATTTCTGTTGCATAGTCTGCACCCTTCATTTTCTTACACAATAGAATCTACAGCGTCGCTAGTGCCAAAATACCACACCAAACTTGTGGTAACTATTAAGTGGTTGCTGGAATAAGTTTTTATTTGTAGTTCGCAGTGCAGCCCTTCTTCGATGATTTAAGTTACAAAAAAGCTAGCCCTTGCGACGGGATATTTGTGAAGGCCTCACGCGTGTGAAATGTCATTGCCACCAGTGCCTAACATTAATTGTCAGAAATTTCAGTGTCAAGTGTGCATCTGCTATTACGACAGTGAAATAGTTCTCTATACACTCCCTACTGCTTGTACATTCATGGCAAGATAAAAGATCCAACAGTCAAGAACCTGCTAAATCGAAGAACGAGTCAAGTGCACAAAATTGCACTTCACTGAAAAAAGCACTGAAGTGCACTTCAGTGCTTATGCTTTGGAGAACTGGGCAATTAATCAGCATTGCATAATCTCGTATCTCGTGCCTGATCTCGTATCTGTGAGAATGCATAGGTCCTATGCATTCCCGCAGATGTGGCCGATATCATCGCCACTTCAGTGCATGTCTGTTTAATAAATGTGCTACTGCCAAGGTTGCTTGGCACATCGCCTGCTGGCACTTTGGGCATAGAATTGTGCAACTATTAGAATGCTCCGAATATTTGAACGAATAGTGCAGTATTCGAATTTCCTTCGAATCGAATTTAAATTGTTGAAAAATTCTATTTATTTGAGACCAACAAATAAGTGCGTATTAGCCTACAGGTAACACTCCGGCGATTTTTTTTTTTTTTTTTTTTCCCCCCGACTCTGTCAAGGTAATAGTGTTTCTATGTTCCTGAGACACTCTTGTCATGAGCCCAGTAGCTGCAATCCTTGGGAAATTTGAAAATTTTTATTAAGCAAAAAAGTGCAATACCGAAACCAAACCGGGCACCCTGTCTGCTTATGACGTATTATTTGGCCAGAACCGGAGTCCCACCGGCGCGGAGCATGAAAAGTGTGAAAGCCACACTAGAGGAGCGCCAGCCAAAAAGCACGAAGGAAGGAAGAAAGCTTTCCTGTGCTATACCCGTGCCAAACGCCACTGCCGTCGCCTTGTGGCCGCACAATAAACGCTGTAACGGCCAAAGTAACGATGCCATCTGCTGTGTCACTTCCGTTCACAGGCCAACGATGACATCACACGGACAGTGTTACCAATAATTCTGGCAAGCCAGGCGAGCTTTTCGAGGCAATCTTTAAAGTTAATTTGCAGTTTTGAGAGATGCACCAATTGTTTGCAAATAGGCATAAATGACGGAAATGTGCAAAGGAACGTACCCAGAGAATTTTATTGAGATCCATTGACCTCCAAAAATTGCCAGATTTGGCCTTCAAAGCAGGTTTCACTGCAGTGAAGAGGTGCTGAGCCGTGAAAACGCCTATTTATATGCATATTAATTCGCATGTAACTTCGCATGTAAAAGTCTTGTGCATTAAAGTGGTGCTAAGCCGGGAAAACGTGTATCCAGGAAAAATGCACACTGCCGCGGACCCCCACTGCGAGGTTACATGGATATATTGTCACAAAGGCACAGGGATGCAGGCACAAAAGCAGGGCGTTTACTTTCGTGGCCAAAAGCACGAACACCAGAGCACGCACCCTCAGAACTACTTCGTTATCCTCCTCAAAGGCTGGCCACTACAGGTGCCAGCCTACCTTGTGTCAATTCTCCCCTTTCAAGAGCGACCGTCCCGGTCGATTGACTAAGATGCTAGACATGGTCATAAAAAAAGATGGCCACGTCAACGCTGTTGTGGACAGTAAGAAAAGTTCGAACAGTTCATAACTCGCGGGCGTGGTACGGTTTCATCCGTACTACATGAACTACTTCTGGACGTGGACGTCCTCGGTTTAAACTGGTATCCAAGCTTTGAGGAATTACCTCGTAATTCACGTCACTGAGGCAGCGCACATCTTCGTAAGGGCCAAGTAGCGTCGCAATAGCTTCTCCGAAAGGCCACGATGTCGAACTGGTGTCCACACCCATACATAGTCACCTGGTTGATAGTGGACGTTCCTTCGGCTTTGGTCGTAACGGCGAGCGTCGACATCTTGCTGCGTGCGAATGCGGTTCCGTGCAAGCTGGCGGGCTTCCTCGGCTTTATCATTGACGTCGTCAACGCTGACATTTTCGCTGGTGTCCTGGTCTACGGGGAACATAGGGTCTAACGGTGTTGTGACGCGACAGCCATAAACAAGCTCGAATGGTGTTAGGTCTGTGGTCTCTTGCACAGCGGTGTTATAAGCAAACGTGACGTATAGGAAAATTTCATCCCACGTTTTGTGCTCTACGTCAACATACATGGATAGCATGTCGGTAATTGTTTTGTTTAACCGCTCCGTCAAGCTGTTCGTTTGGAGATGATAGGCTGTTTTCCGGTGGTTAGTGTGCGTCAGCTTGGTGACTTGTCGCAATAACTCTGCCGTAAATGCTGCTCCGCGATCGGTTATGAGAACGGCAGGTGCGCCATGACGCAAAACAAGCAACGGCCGCCAACTGTTCCGGATCTGGTCGAACACACCCCCCCCCCCCCCCCCCCCCCCCCGGCTCACCACGTGGCCGAGAAACTCGAGTTCCTGATAGCCAAAATAGCACTTTTCGGGCTTGATAGTGAGGTTTGCTCTCCTTATCACAGTGAGGATGCTTTTTAGCCTTGAAAGATGTTCGTCAAACGTGCTTGAAAACACGACATCCAAGTATACAAGACACATCTGCCACTTTAGTCCAGCAAGTGCAGTGTCCATCATGCGTTGAAATGTGGCGGGAGCGGAACAGACCGAAAGGCGGTGCTTTAAATTCGTAAAGCCTGTCGGCAGTCACGAATGCGGTTTTTTCACGGTTGCCCTCGTCAACTTCAATTTGCCAGTACTCTGACTTGAGATCTAATGATGTAAAGAACTGAGCATGGCGTAGACGGTCTAGGCCGTCATCAATTCGTGGCAGGGGGTAAACGTCGCGTTTTGTGACTTTGTTAAGCCGTCGGTAGTCAACGCAGAAGCGTAGTGTGTTGTCTTTTTTTTTTTTTCTTTACTAGAACAACAGGCGACACTCACGGACTGGTCGAGGGTTGAATGACGTCATCATTTAGCATTTCTTGTACGACGCTTAATCACCTCTTTCCTTCGGGGACACACGGTATGAATGTGGGCGAAGAGGCCGCACCGACTCCTCGGTAACAATACGGTGTTTTGTAACGGTAGTACGTTGAACTTTAGATGCTGTGGAGAAGCAGTCCGAAACTTCCGTCACGAGGTTCAGCAGCCGCTCTTTTCGTCAATTTGGCAAGTCTGGATTAACGTGAATGCGGCTGCCCAGGTCAGCACAAGATTTTGCATGCGGTGAAGTTGTATCCAATGCGCTGACATCGGAAAAGTCGGCGATTTCACTGAGGAAAGCGACAGTGGTGCCTCTAGGGACGTGCTAAAACTCATTGCTGAAGTTGGTCAGCAGAACTCGAGAGCGTTTATTCTCTAACCGAATAAGGCATCGGGCTTCGCAGATGTTTCGTTTGAGCAGCAGCAGGATATTTGCCTCTGCAATACCTTCATAGTCGTTGAATTCATCGACAACGTAGCAGGTTCCCAAGGTCAACACTCTACTCTTCGGCGGTAACGCGAGGTCATTGTCGACAATTCTCAAAGCACTGACGTAACTGTCGTGAGGGTTGCGCGCTAAAGCGTGTGCCATAGAAAACGTCACCTGCTACTCTTGCAAGTCAATCACTGCTCCGTTATCGTGCAGAAAGTCTAGTCCGAGAATCGGGTCCCACGAGCAACTGGGCAGTATTACAAATTCTCCGAGATACGTAAATCCATGAATACTGACTCGCGCTGTGCACCGTCCCACCGGAGTGAGAAGATGGCCTCCTGCTGTACGTATCTGTGACCCAGCCCACTGGGTAGAAACCTTCTTTAGCTTGCAGGCAAGACCCATGCTCATAACAGACGTGTCTGCTCCAGTGTCGATTAGTGCCATTACTTCTTCGTCATCCACGGTTACCACAATGTTTGATGTCGCTACTCTTTGTACCACGTTTGACTGCGTCTGTACATCTTTTTGCTGCCGTCGCTGTCGTCGTAGTGGAGGATTTTCCGTAGAGTCGGCGTCGGCGGCCTCACCTCTGGAGGTCGCTGAACTCGGTTTTCCAGACTTGCAGGACTGGGTGAACGGCGTCTCGGAGCGCCACGTGAGTATGCGGGGCTCAGTGACCTGTAGCGAGCAGGCAACGACGAGTGGGGCTCGTGCGACCGATGTTCGATACTGCGTCGATTCGAGATGAAGCTCTCTATTTCCAGTGGTCGCTCGCCAGGTCGTGGACGAGGGGCATTAGGCGAAAATCCACGGAGACCCACACGGCGGTATGGACATGTTCGGTAGACGTGTCCGGCTTCCCCGCAGTGGAAACAAAGGGGCCTGTGGTCGGGTGTACGCCAGATGTCGCTCTTCCTCGGTCGTGCTTCGGCGATCAACGGTGGGCTGCGAGTACGGAAGCCTACCTCTATTTGCTGAGCGCGTTGCTCAGTGGGGTAAAACACGCTGGGTGAACTGCGCGACGGAGGACGTCGCACTGCTTCCGCGTAGCTCATTTCGACGCATTGCCTCTGTTGTGGCACCTCGGACTGTGGGGGAGTGTGAACGGCCTTGCCGTAGCTCGGCGCGTACCATCTCCGCAGCGGAGAGCTGGTCTACAGGTGAAGCAGTCAGCCTGCATCTTTTGTAGCTCCTCCTTAATGAGAGTTCTGATGAGCTCTCGCAACGCGCTGATGTCATTGCCGAGAGTGACGGAAGTGACCTCAGCTTGGATGTACACCCCGGTTACACTGCCTGGCACGCTGTTGAAGGGCCCTCTCCATGGCAGTGGCTTCCTCATGGAACTCCGCAAGTGTCGCAGGTGTGTTTCGAATCGGGCCCGCAAAAATCTCTTCTTTAACACCACGCATTAAGTGACAGACTTCCTTAGATTCGGTCACAGAGGGCTCCGCATGCCTGAAAAGCCGATCCATGTCCACTATGTAAGTCGTCACCCTTTCGTTAGGGCCTTGAACCCTTGCCTCTATAGCACGCTCCGCTGTCTCTTTCCTATCCTCTGGGGCAAAGGCCTTGAGGAACTGCCGGTGAAACTCGTCCCATGACGTAAGCGTTGCTTCATGGTTCTCAAACCACGTTTTCGCGGCGTCCTCGAGAAAGCAGTACACATAGCGTATCTTACGCTCTGGGGTCCAATCGTTCATGACGGCGACCCGGTCGAAATGCTCGAGCCAGTCGTCAGCACCTTCAAAAGCAGCTCCATGACATGTCCTCGGCGTCTTGGGCTGGTTGACACCCAGGTGCGCTGGTGCTGGCGCGGTGACGTTAGGTGGTGCTTGGTTCATAGTCCTCTGACGTTCAGGCAGCAAACCGTGCTGTGGCTCGAGTCCCTGGAGACGACAGGTGGAACATACGTGCACAAGGGTAAGCTCGGCTGAGCTACTTGATGGGCTTGCATCAGGAGTGCTCTCTGGGGATCGTATCATCTAACGTACCCCGCACCTCCACCAGAAAATGTTGCAAAGGCACGGGGATGCAAGCACAAAAGCAGGGCGTTTACTTTCGTGACCCAAAGGCTAAAAGCACGAACACCAGAGCACGCGCCTACAGAACTACTTCGTTATCCTCCTCAAAGGCCGGCCACTATAGTTGCCAGCCTACCTTGTGTCAATATTACCCATACTTCTATTCGCTTTTCCTAAGTTTAAATGCAGACTTACGTGCTCCAAGTATAGCAAATTTCAAAACTTAACATACTTTGCAGGCTGTCACTGGCATTCTACAGAGAGTGAAATTCCTGCCACTATTCAGTTTCCACTTCCTTTGATGCAAAAGAATGGCATTTGCACAGGCCTTGTATCGATTCTTAAAAAATTCTGTACAGATTAGTTTGGCGATGATATATGCTCTTTTTTTTACATAACATGTGATATAAACAGTGTTCGAATTCAATTTGAAATTATTCAACCAAAATCGCTATTTGCACAAGCCTACTAGGGCAGCAGTCTAAAGGCCTGACCACATGTATCCATTGCAGTCCATCAGAGGAGGCATCGCACCCTCTCCCTTTGGAGAGAGAGAAAACGAGCAGCTTCGCTTAGTCGTACATCCTCTCTCTCTCTTTCTTTCTCTGTAAAGGGATGGATGCCGCGTCCAAAAGCTATGCGCCGCAACGGCTACAGTGTCCATTTTTATGAAAGGGAACACGACTACACATGGTCTGCGCGCTCTGGCAGTGCGTTCAAGCGGGAGCGAGAGCAGCCACACTTTTCGCGTGATCTCGCAGTGAGCAAAACAACCATTTGTTGCTTATATAGAACGGCAAGATTGCAACCCCTCCACCTTCAATGCGAATACCGGCTCTTGCATAACTGCCTTGAAGAGGGAGGGGGTTGCAATTTTTTCGCTGGTTCCATATCGGTAACGAATGCTTGTTTTCCTTGCCGTGAGATGACTCGAAAAGAGACTGGTTGTTCTCGCGGCCGCCTGAACGCCCTGCCAGCTGCCACCGGAGTGCGCAGGCCACGGGTTTTAGTGTTCCCTTTCATAAAAATGGACACTGTACATAGGGCCAGGACTTAAAGTGATGCTTTCGTAGACCTTCACTTTTGCCAGATCGTTGGTAGGTGCCACGGCACGCTCAAGTGAAGTTTCACGACTGTCTAAGGGCACAACGTTTAACTTCCATAACTTGTAGACTGCCAAATGCCTAGCTAAACGGCTAGTGACTTTTGAACACTTCTGAATGCTTTGTTAGAAATGCACGTGCCCTTTTGTAGACAGTGTGAAAAAAGACTACTATGAAGACGGAGTGGCGCTCATGCTGTTTCACTTGCGTGATGTCTGTAGCCTGTATGCTTGTGTTTCCTTGGGAGTAAAGTAAATACTTCCTTTCCTACAACGTCTTGGGTGCTTCAATACACCGCAAGATCACATTTCAGAAGGGGGATTGCCTATCCAGTCACTAAAGGAAAATGAGTTTTATCAGTGCCTGGAACTGATATCCCTTACCTAAACTGGAATGCTTTGATGAAAGAGACAACCCGACTGGCGGTAGCAACACTATAGACTCGGGAGATTCAAAGCTCTCCAAGAAAAGGATGGACTACTAGCAGCCCGGCTGCAACGACTGTCTGCAGGCTGGTGCAGTGAAACCTTAGCGCCAACGTTCCAGGCGATTCCAGACTTGAGCCACAACATCGGTGCCTTCAACAGCTCCAAGGACTCTCCATCAGCGCGCAAGTATTTGCCGTATGTATAACCTTTATGGGTGGCCAGCAGCGTACATGCTAGAAATTTCCAAGGCCAGACTAGTGGGAAATGCACGTGCCCTTTTGTAGACAGTGTGAAAAAAAAGACTACGATCGGGACAGGAGTGACGCTTGTGCCGTTTTACCTGTGTGGCGTTTGTAGCCTGTGTGTGGCTTGTGTTTTCTTGAGGGTAAATTCTTTTCTTTCTACAATGTCTCGGGTACTTCAAGGACGCTGCAAGATAACAACCAAGACTACATTACCTTCATCACCAGTGAACTTGTGTCACACTTGACCTAAACCTTGTAGACCAACAAAACCGTGGCATTGAGAATGTAATAGTCTTCAGAAAGTCTCGTAGGTGGTCGCAAGACATACTGCGAGATGTAATTCCAACCACCAGAGGTCTTGCAGCATCCCTTCCAGTGTACCACGAAACAGCTACTGAAATAATCCCTCTGCCAAAGAAACTTGTTTATGTCGCAATGACCATACCTTGAGGAAACTTGATCAGTACCTAAATGGCTTGCAGACAAAGTGGCCCATGACTCCCAAGTTCCTGCGCCTGCAGTCTTCGGTGACACCAGAGATGAGGGCCATCCTCGTCAACTGGATGATGATGGTGCACCAGCGGTTCCAGCTGCTCCAGGAGACTCTGTTCTTGGCAGTCTCGATCACTGACAGATATCTGCAGGTCAGTCTGCTTGATCCCATTTCCGATATGCCACGTTTTAGTGAGGAGCCGGTTATGCAACATTTTTGCCTTACCACAGTTGTAGTGCCTTAATAGTTGACTTTAGTGTCCCTTTAAGTCGACAATGATTGTTGAAATGGTAATCCAGTGACCTCGTAGTGTTACTTTTGTGCCAAGGAAGGGCCTATTTCTTAATACAATTGCGATTTAGGGCTCCGCATTGGGTTAGCGCACTTCAAATTACCCGCCTCAAGAAGCCGACAGACCGGTTCGCCTTCGCGTCACTGTTGCGATGCACAACGTTGCCCGGCTTTACTGCGCTCGTATCAGGCAGACTGAAAGCAGCGGGAGCCACAGCAGCAACAGCCATTGATCAATTTTCTGCCATTGGCTTCGACATCGCAGACGCTTTTGTTTCAACTGCGCCCCGCTAGATAGCACCACCTATCCTGTGTAATCACGCGAAAATTTAATTTTTGAACCACTCGCGCCATTCCACATAGCAACGTCCAGCGGGTTTTTTGTATGAATCGAACAAAATTAACAAGCAGAATTTGATTGCGTCTCTTAATGCACAGAACGTTCCTTATTTAGTGCAGTTAGATCGATTACTAGTGATTAATTGTAGGCGGTACGTCTGTCATCGGAATCATTTTGAAAATGTCCTACTGCGGCGCTTGTGTTTCTGTGCATTTACTTTAATTTCTAGGTAAGTAGGGCGCTCTTGTTGTAATGTTGTCATTTTATATGTTGTCGTACATTGAGCTTTCACTCTGACGTAAATTGTTGTTGGAATTTAAAGGGACCCTGCAACACTTTTTGAGCATGGTCGGAAAACGCTGCCGATCGGTAGTAGAGGCTCCTGACAACACGCGAGCCAAATATTATAGCACAGCACACGGCCTGGAGTTCACAATAAATTATCAGTCGGCTAAATATAGCTTTCTTTTCTCTCGTCAAATCTCGGAATAAGCCTAAATATCGCTCGTAGTAAGCCAATCTATCGGCCATTGGCTGATTTGAACATGGCGCACTCGGTTGTTACAGAGGTCTTCGCGAAAGGCAGTCACTTGTACACATGTGCGCCCACGATCGCACTGAAAAGCCGCGTATTTGAAGAAAAAAGTGCTCAAGGTCACGAGGCACTAGTGGCATTTTTTATTTGCCTCTCCCATTCCTTTCTGCTTAGCTTCCAGCGATTTCGTCGGGATGAGAGAAGAGAATATGAGATTGCAGTATGTGACAAATTTTCGTAACTCCGCTCGTACTGGACGGATTCTCAAAATTTTTGTGGCTTGTAACTCGTGAGGTAACACGCTTTTGAAGTGAACAAATTCTATGGTTACTTAAAAAAAAAAAAGGGATTCACGGCCCCTTTAAGCATCACTTCAAAGCAGAGGAGACTAAAAAATGCTACACCTCGGTCATTTTATATAAGAATCTGTCCATTTGCTCTGGTTTGTATGCCATCAATGAATGCACATTCTGGAAGTCAGGTCAATTCACTTTCGCTGAGGTTGTGTGCTCGTGTGCAGGTCCAAAATGTGAGCAGGTCCAAGCTTCAACTGCTGGGTGTGTCGGCCATTTTTGTGGCCAGCAAGTTTGAAGAGATGATGCCACCCTTGCTCAGCGACATGGTGTACGTCACTGACGGTGCCTATCAGGCCAAAGAAGTGCTTCGAATGGAGCAGCTGATCTTGCGCACACTCGACTGGTCTCTGGGGCGCCCCCTTCCTGTGCACTTCTTGCGACGAAACTCCAAGGCAGCACGGGTGCGTCCAGCAGTTCACACGACTTCGGCTTGAATTCTGCGCTGTAGAAAACGTATTGTGCGCGAGTGCACGCATGCACTTTTCACTGGCAGAAAGATTGGTATGCTGTAGTTACTATGGCAGGCTTCCCAAGACTACCAATCTTGGTTGAAGTAGCGAGGGCACGAAATGTGGTGTGTTCATAATCACTTTCATAATGGTGGCAAATGCTTACTGTCGAAAGATATTCCCTCTCATTATGTAGAGCTTTTGATGCAATTAGCTGAGAACCTTGTTGTTTAATTACAAAACTGAACTCTAGAATATTGTTGTGGCTATTACCATTGTCCTCTTCCCCCCCCCCCCCCCCTCTCCTCGTTTCAATAACTTCAAGAAAGGACTCGTTATCAACAGAAGGTATTGCTACAGCCAAAGTTTTGACAAGTCTGCTTGTTCAAACGTAGACTCTAGTGACACCGCATGTTCACAAAGTTCTCGGCTTCAAGCTCCTACCTTCCTCTAAACTGCCATCTTTTTTTTTTCCTTTCAATTGTATACAATATTTTTTTCCAACTATACCACCAATTATTGGCAGCCATATGCCACTCGACAAACTTCAATACATCATGACAATCTCTATAGGCGAAGTTATCTTCACATTTTGCTGCCACGAATTGTTGAAACCTCGGGTATTGCCCAGGGGAGCACAAAGTCCGATCCTATTGTGTTCGCTGTTCTGCAACACTTGCTCTCGTCCGAGTCAACAAATACTATCCACCATCACATTCACACCGGTGAAAACTAGACCTTTCATACCAGGTCCCTGAAAAAAATGAAAGATCCCAATTCGGAGATATCGGTTGCCTGAACAATCGCGATTGCTTCCAAGTGTGAGAGCGCTCTGCATTTACTACCAGTTTTCATAGCTAATCGCAGCTTTCAATGATCTGTAGTCCTGTTTGAACGTACCCGTTTTGTGTACTGTAAAATTTACTTCTCGCCGGCAACACTGTGACACGGCATGCCACTGGTGTCTCGATGCCCTCTGTGCAATGCAGGCAGATGTGGTGGAGCACAACGTGGCAAAGTTGGCGCTGGAGCTGTGCCTCCTCGACTACCCCATGTCCTGGGTGCGGCCTTCTGAGCTGGCTGCTGCTGCCCTCTACCTCTCCCTGAACTTGTTTCGCAAGGAGGACCAGAAGAGGTGCGTTTTGTGGCAGCTTTGCGTACCTGGCGGTTTTTCCAGGGTTCCAAGAGCTGGGAAGTGTTCAGCCTGTAGTCAAGAAGCATTACTTAGGCTTGCGCACAAATATCCAAATGAATAACGAGGTATTTGAATTGTTCGAAACAAATGAAGGTCATTATTAATCCGTTTGTGCAGCCTTGTAAAGGTGGTTTCACTGCAGTGAAGTATTGCTGCATCCGTGGAAACACTTAATAGGAGTAATTCGCATTGCCGTGGAGCCTTACTTCAAGGTTAATTGAGGATATTGCCCCAAAACCGATTCATTTTTAAGTTTAAAAGCTTGTTATGCTGACCTATATGCTCCATGTATATTTAATTTTAAAAACTAATATTTTACAGGCTATCGCTTGAAATCCTACTGGTATTCAATCTTTTTTCCTATTCCTTTGATGTAAAAAAATGTCATTGCACAGACCTCGTTTCAGTTTTTCAATTCGATTAGAACTTATTCAACCTACAAGATCGCCGTTCTCTTCGAACCCGAAATTCACTATTTGCACAAGCCTAACCATCCAGTCTCAAACGTGATTGCTCGTTACAAAAAAATTTTGTTAATACATAATTGCAATCAACTATGCATTAATGTTTTTAAAATTCGAGTACGATTCTCAACTTTTGCAGCACTACTGAATTCTGAATTGAAATACATTGTTTAATGAAAGGGTTATTTTCTTCCCACTCTCCTTAATGCATATACGAAGCTATACCACTAGCCATACCCCCACCGCTTGGCATGCAGGTGGGACGACATGATGACACACTATGGCCGCTACACCGAAGAGGCCCTCAAGCCCACAGTCCAGCGCATGGCTGGACTACTTCTTGATGCACCTAAGAGCACTCACAAGGTCAGTTGCCTGTTTGTTTCTTTCCTTCTGTATTCCCTATGTAATACTGTTTGACTCTTTCCCTACCGCACCTATTCAAATCGTTCAATTTGAACAATGCCTTTCAAGTTCAAATTTTTGCAGAGTTAGCGGGTGTGTAACGCCATCTAGGTGCAAAGGTAAGAAATTCGTAACGTGATTCGCTGTGTTTTAGTTGTTTTTTGCTTTAAGAAAGTCTCCCTCGTTGCTTACTTTCGGGTTGTTGTGCAAGTGGACGATGCCACGATCAACCTCTTGCGCAGTAAATTGTAATGTGCATTTTCACTCTGAAAATGCACAACAAAGGAAGGTCATTTTGCACACTAAATATAACTTCGTGTCGTTTTTGTGTGCCCGAGGCATATGATCGCGAGTAGTGTGAATGGAGATTTTCAGCTCCATATCATTCAGGAAAGGTTACTGCAGGCCAAAACTAAAGAAATAGAGTATGCATTAGATTAGTCTAAATAGTCTACTTTATCAAACTGTAGTTTTATCAAACTGAGCCAAAGAAATTCTTTTTGTATTTGTTGTTGTTCTTCCTTTCCTCCCATTATAAGTATAGTTTATTGAGTGTTATCAAGCAACCTATTTGGGTGTACTTGGCATGTTATCAGAAATGGCCCCCAAAACCAAATGCTAAGATGAACTCTTGATAAGATGAACAAATGGTAGTGGTCCTTTCGAGTTCGTCTTGTCTACTGTACAGTTCTACCCCTTTATAAGAGGCATGCTTGGGGCACTAGTAGTCTTTTGTATGTGGTGTCCCTTGTAAATAGGGTATCTCATATGCATTTTCTTATTGGCCCGTATTTTACTGTAGCCACACTTGCCTGCTTGCACAGACGCCCCTGTGGCGCACCCCTTTATATAAGAGGCATTTGATGTCTAGTGACACCACTGACCCGAGCTAACGAGAGGCTTCGACCTCTCCCGCACCTAGCCGTATGTGGCTGAACAGTGTCCGGGGAATAGGGGATCCTGGGGGATCCTGCCGCACCAGCCCCCGTCACTCCTTTGGCCTGCGCATTGTGAGCCGGCGGTTGTGGTACCTGCCCCCAAGGCGGCTGTAGTCCAGACTACTCCACCTACTCGCGAACAGAGACTCCAGGGTCCTCGGGTCTCAAGGCCTTGCCTCGCCAGGGGAGGCCCAAAATTTGAACTACCAGCTCGCACGTGCGGGCATCCAGTGCCTCTGAGGATGCAATGGATACGTCGGTACCCTTGGTGCCGCAAGAGCCGCGTATCTGCTTGGAGCGGGCTAAGAAAACAAAAAGCAGATAACAGGGCCTGGTGACGGCCCCTCTTACTTGAATCCAAACTCCCCACCTAAACAGCCACTCACTTTTCGTACACACACCACTACTTTACATTCACCATATGCATTGGAACTTCAGGGGCCTTCTCATAAAGCTTGACGACGTCCAAGAACCTTTACACGAACACTCGCCATAAGTGCTGTGTGTACAAGAAACACACCTAAATTCAAAACACACCAACTTTCTTCGTAAGTTCGTTACTTTCCGAAAGGACCGTGATGATACCACGACATTATCTGGAATTGTTGCCATTATAGTAAATGAAGGGATTGCATGCACACGCTTTCAGCTCTGATCATCTCTTGAGGCGGTGGCTGCTCGAGCTGTGCTTTTCAACAAACTTATCACAATTTGTACTCTTTACGTACCTCCGAGCTATCGCCTACGAAAACATGACTTCCAGTCTTTAATGGACGAACTTCCGGAGCCTTATGTTCTCCTTGGAGACTTAAATGCGCATAGCAGGCTATAGGGTAACTCTCGTTGCAAAGCGAGAGGTCAACTGATTGAACAGTTCCTTCTCTCGTCAAGCGCGTGTCTCCCAAGTAAAAAAAAACCAACCTATCATATTCTCACCTATAATACCTACTCCTCCATACACCTAAGCATAGTATCTCCGTCTCTTGCGATTCTACTCCAGTGGAAAGTCATCAGTAATCCGTAAAGAAGCGACTTCTCCGTAGTTTTGAGCACAACTACAGCAACCGAGTGTCCATCGCGGGTTCCGAAATGGCTCGTAAACAGAGCCGACTGGGAACAGTTTTATGCCATCGCTCGTTTAGGTTGGAGTGACAGGTGTACTTTGAGCATTTATGCTGCTGTCATCTACTTCACGGTGTTTTTATGTTGCAACAAAATGCATCCCACGAACGAATGGACACCCTGGAAACAACGTGTATCGTGGTGGAACTGAATGCCTCAACACGCGCACAGCACAATAGAGCATGGAGGTTGCTCCGGAACTCGCACAGCCGAAAATCTTGACAGCTTTAAAAAAATAAAAACTCAAAGCAGGAGAACGCGTCGACAGGCCAGAAGGCAAAGTTGGCGCAAGTTTTCAGCAGGGATCAACTCGTATACACAGGAGGCTAAAGTCTACAGATAGTTAATAGGGTAGCAGGAAGACAAGCACACTCACTCCCACTCAATGGCTGTCCAGCTCGTCAATTATACTGACGCTTTCCTAAAACGCAAAACTAGAATTGAGAAGCGGAAACCAGAACGCAAATGTACAAAACACGAAGCATACAACCAAGCTTTCAGCTTAGCAGGGTTCCCAACATGGCTAAATTCTGGCACTAATTCCGCCCCAGGTTCTGACGAGTGGTGTACGATATGTTGAAAAACCTATCAATCGAAACCCAAGAAATGTTACTTTGCTTGTACAATGCTATCTGGCTTTACTGGTGCTGCCCCTGCTTCCTGGAAAGAAGCTATTATTCCAATTTTGAAAAAGGGCAAGGACCTTTTTTCAGCTTCGAGTTGTAAGCCTATTTCACTTACAAGCTGCTGGTGCAAACTCTTCGAAAAAATGATAAACTGCAGACTTGAACATTTCCTTGAAACTATTTACTCGACCCATTTCGGTGTGGGTTTTGAGAGGGCAGTTCCACCACAGACCACCTTGTTCGTATATCGAGGCAGAGATCAGAGACGCTTTCGTCCACAAACAGTATTTCCTCTCTGTGTTCCTCCATATCGAAAAGGCTTGCAATACAACATGGCGCTTCGGAATATTAAGAGACCTGTGTCATCCGGGCGTGCGTGGAAGAATGTTTAACATAATCGAAAGTTGCTTGTCAAACCGGACATTCCGTGTCCGAGTAGGCAGCGTTCTTTCCCAAACATTTGTCCAAGAAACGGGAGTGCCGCAAGGTGGTCTACTTAGCTGCACTCTTTTTATTATCAAAATGAATTCTCTGACCCATGAACTGGCGCTCTTTCGCCATCCAATGGCCTTTGCGCCACAAAACACCAAACATCTTATACAGGGGTGCGAATGTACAGTGAAACCTCGTTTTGTATCTCCAGAGAACGCGGCACGATCATGTACTAAATGACTGTGCACGTTCGCAAGCACACATGTGCAGCTCCTGAAGTGCTCTGTTGCTGCCAATAAGTGAATACAGCAGTACCACAGCAGATGTCGCCCAAAGTACCTACCAGAAAGCCTTTCTTGCCCGACTGTTCTATCGCGCATAGTGGCAAGGCCCAGAAATATTTCAAAAGTATTACAGAGTCTGGGATACGCAGTGACTGAAATGGCGACAGAACTGACACTATCAGCTTTCCGCTATACATATGCGCGCTTCTCTGCCGCGTTACGGTACTGGGCGACAACTGACAGTTCATTGAAACACGGAGTGGACGTGTGGACTTGAATCATCTCCTGCTTAGTTGCATGCAGTGTGGCGCCTATGCTGCCTACACTGTCGCTGCCAGTCGGCTCCCTGTGCTGTCCGCGCCGATTTACTGTGTGAATGCCATGTCCCCACTTCGCTCTAGACTGGGCACAGATGAGCAGAGTACTGTGTTTACTTAGCATCAGTATAACAAACTTCCACCAAGTGAAGAGGGCCATGAATATCTATACCTTGTTTCACACATCAGGTGCAACGCTGCAGAAGCTCGCGAGACTAGTAAGTACGTTCGCATAAAGAAATAGGTTCATGTTTTTACCAACTAGAGTATTTTTTTTTTTTTTTTTCAGGCAGAGTATGAAATGGGCATGTTTTGTATAGCATACACACCACCAGTGCTCCTGTGCAGGTGGTAAGTTTGGTAAAACCGTGCCATATTTTTAATTTGATGTTGTTTGACTCTAGAAATTTGCTCCATAACTCGCGTTGCTCCAAAAAGTGCCATTTGGGGCTCCGAACCTGCTCCAAAACACTGAAGTCCACTTCCACCCCTGCATTCTTCGTACTGTCTGGTAAAAACTTCCCGCGACAACATGCCGAAGTGCAGGCTAGACCTAATCGGCGTTGGTTGCTTCTCAGTGGCAGTCTTAGGCACCAAAAGTCGTGGTTTCGTACACAGTCAATGGAAATCCTTGCGGTGACTCTGCTTGACGGAAATGGTGCATAGGTGGTGCTTCCAACACTCGAATGGTGATTCATAATTTGATTTCAATGTCATTGGATGTGGGGCTTGAACCCGTCAAACCGTATGATCGGTACTGTTCAGTGCACCAAATTTCCGTGACGGTGTTTTCTTTTTGTAGTTATTATTTCTCTGCGTTAATTTTGTTGGCAACATGCTTCTTTCGAGTTGAATTTTGGAAATTTTAATGCTCGTAAGCACACCACATTGCGTGCCTCTATTTTCGGACATGTGAGGCTGCATGCTCAACACGTTTTGCGCTAGGGTATCCTATAAAGGTTGTTTCAGCTGTAGGGCAGATATCATCGACTTCAATAACTTCCATTATCAGCGGTCTATTCTGCAGTCGAAACTAAGTTGTTTGGAAATTTTACCACCAGAAGTAGGCACATCCTGGGCATGGCACCGTATCTTTCGCAAAAAAAAAAAAAAAAGTGCGCCTATTATGCAAGTAGCTTAAAGGCAGTAAAAAGCTTCCACAAGTTGGCATATATTATATTTGAGCTCGCGTAACAAAAAAACGCTGTGCTTCTCAATTTCAGTATTCATTCCTCTTAAATATCAAGTGGTAGGCAACATTGCGAGGCAAAAACATCCAAACAGGGCATAATATAGTCGAGCCCCTTTATAAATAAACACTTCTGCAAGTGACCATTGGGTATAAGGCACTACGGTTCATACATTAAAATAGGCGTCAATAAAGAAAATGCATACGTAGTACTGTTTATGCGTGACCTCGCGTACAGGATGAGAATTGCTACCACATGCATGTCTCTTATAAAGGAGTTCAACTGTACTTGTAATTCAAAACTTTATTGCTACAAGCAACTTCAACTGATAATAAAACTTGGTACATATTAACTTTTGCTTCCTTTTAAATTTAAGCATGCTTTTATCGCGCTACGTTTTATTACTTAGTTGGTATTCAACCTAAGTAGTGTACCAAAAACGCCGAAGTTTCAAAATTCTTTCCCCAGAAAGGTCATTGTGGAGGTTTTCACAAATCCCTCGGATTGAAGTTGGGACTTTTTTACCATTCCATGCAAAAAAGCATTGCATGCATAACTTTGGTTAACAAGTTGTGACGCGTTGCCTGTGACTAAGTCGGCCTTGTGTATGTGCTGTTCATTGGGGGCATAAATCGCAAAAAAGGCAACTCTACCGCAACAACAAATGTGCAGATAGTTAGCGTGATACAGCAATCTTTTTCTTGCTATCGTTGAACTTTCCAGAACCCTCCCCTGCACGTCCTACGTAATATCATTTTGGTCTTCGGACATAAAAGCCCAGATATTTTCCATGAAGTGCTGCTGGGCCCAGTTAAAAGCATGGGATGGTGCTTACGCTACAAAGTTAATCGAGAGAATACATCGCACTTGCAGTGGTCATTTATGTATCTGCACTGGCTTTCCTCTGTGCAGGCTCCGTACGAAAAGTACAAGCACAGCCGACTGGAGCGCGTCAGCACAGTGACGGTGTCCCACGCAGCCCAGCTCCGCGAGATGGCCGGCAGGCCCTGAAGAAATAAGTGGGCAATTTTATGGATGACAAGGCTTTCAGCGAACTTTTTTTTGTGTGTGTGTGTGTGTGTGTGTGTGTGTTGCTGCTGCTGAAACACTCGCTTTCATCCTGTCAACACCAGCTTCTACTATCGCAGCAGCTTCTTTTTTTTTCTTTTTTTTTTTTTTGACACTGGTGGGACGGAAATCTTGACATTGCAGTCTGCCGTTTTACCAACATTTTTGCGTGGCCGGCTGCAGGTGCCGCGAGATGGTATTGCCTGCCATTAAATGTGTGCCCAATGTGAAGCTTTAGTCATTGTATAGAACAGAGCTTTTGCAAGTTCGGAGCAAGGAATGTTGCAACTGCGCTCTTCTAGCTCACTTGACCATGTTTGTAAGTCCTCTGAAAACAGAATGGTTTTAAAGTTTAACCATTGACATTGCAAATAAAGTTATGCAACGAGCTTTTGGGCCTCTACGTGTCCTATTTGTCCTTTTTTGAGACTTCAACGGCCTGCCACACAAATGCACTGGGCACTGTTTCAGCATAGTCTGTCGCAGACCCTTTCCTCGGCAGCAGCCGGCGCCGCGCCGCACAAGCTTTGCATTGCTGTTGCTGCAATGGGGCATCATAGTCTATCAGCTCTGTGTGGTTCTCGCGCAAAAGCAGAGTAGATTGCAGCTTGGGTGGTCACATGATAAGTTTGAATACTGTTGGCGCTGCGGTTTTTTGGTCAGCGCTACATTCACACGAATCGTAACGCTTTCTCGGTTGGCCTGTTTCCGGTTCACTATGTCGAGCGCAATACAAGTGCGGACGTTTCTGCTCACGTGTAGCGTGGAAAATTTTGCCATTGAATGCCAGTGGAATGTCGTGCGTGCATAAAGGGCTTTGACCTCCATTGTCCACACTATCCGAAACCATTCCCTTAGCTTGACGCTAACAGGGATTTGGGAAAGTAATGCATGCTGCTGGCATTACTACCCGTGAAAATATGCAGTGACGTCGAGTGGCATCGGAAATGTGTCGTGGCAGTTGACATTGCATCTCGTCATGAGTCGCCTGGTACAGGATTGTCACTTTACAAGCATAAAATGTTGCCGTGGCTATGAGCAGTTTTCCATTAGAGCTTTAGTTTGACCTTTTTATGGCTTGCTTTGCTTCGAGTTGGCCCGCAGGGAAGCAGCAGACGGTTTTCTCGTTTTAGTTCTGTTTCCCGTTCTGGAGCGTAACTTTCACAGTTACATCGCCCTCTGGTTAAGTTGAGCCTTGCTAAATAAAATTACAGACCACTTTCACGAAGCAAAAGAAATATATGCAACTAAATTGTTCAAGAATCATTTGGACTTGCTCTCACAATGCGTTTCCAGTCCATCTCGTCAAAGAAAAATAGTGTCCTCCTTACCCGGCAATGAGGCTGCTCACCAGCCAGCTCAAGGACTCTCGGACTGAGCCTCTGGATTGCCCTGGTCAAGTTGGGGGACGATTATAGATTTGAGTGGATGACCACTTGCAGAGATATGCGGTATTACAGGCTAAGCAGACAAATTTATCCTCCCGCACACTCAGTTATTTAACAAAGGACAGGCGGTGGCATGGCGCCTACTTACCTGTACGTTCCCTTGTTTGGTAACAATGAACCGCTGTGTGCCGGAACTTCATTCGGACAAGTGTAAATTTTGCAACGAAACAGACCCAAGCCACATTTTATGGGCATGCCCGCAGGCCCCTACGGCAGGCCGGAGACATCGCCAAGGCCTACGGGATCATGGCAGTCTAGATTTGGTCCTTCCCCCGCACCTAGAAGGGGAGGAGGATCTTTCTGCTGGTTAGTTTTCTCATCATCGTCATCGACTTGAAGATAGCCGTGTGGATCGTATTCTACCAGAGCACAAGAGGAAGTGTGCGGAATGTTTCTGCTTGCGAAAATGGCAGCGCGACGCTCCACGATCAGCTTAGCTAGCCCATAAGCAAAGCGTGGGCTTCTCCACTGAGCCGCTTACAGCCGTAGCAGAAGGTGCACGAGCACTTGCGTTCTGCTTAGCTGCTCGGTGGAGCGGATGAACGCCAAACTAAAACTCTGTTTACACTACACCTGCGCAATTTGTATTGCTATTGGTGTGGACAGCAGATTTGTCCTTCAAATATTTTTAGCGTGGTCTCTGTTCTTGCATACACTCATCCTGCAATGTATGCTCGTAGCTTTCAACGCCTTGCTTGTTCATTTGACAGCAGGCATTTTGAGCGCGACTACACCAGAGGGATTTCGTTGTGTTGCTTTTCACTCTTCACAAAGTGCGGGCAGGTACTGCAGAAGGGAAGGTTAGATGGCCCAGCACAATTGCCCTACCACCCTTGCACCGTTCAACGAATGCGTAAACATTGAAAAATTGCAAAATGAAAAAGATTGGCTTGGCTTGCACACACTTGTAAAGCTTAATAGCAGCTAGTGGTTCAAAACTATCTAAATGGGTATCAAGACTATTCAGTTTCTTTGTAGTCTAAGGAAACGATAATCAGTATTACTGAGGCGGTTCTTACATGTAATACTATTCAGTTTTGTGTATAATAGTCTGTGTATTACCCTCTGTAAAATTGACAGGTACTCGGTGTTATGAACGATTGTCATTCTTGGCCAGTGATATTGTCAAAACATTCGCACTAGCAAATGATCAGCAATACTAAGTGCATTTATAAAGAATGTCTTGGCAAAAGAGAATAAATATTCTCTGTAAAAATGCCAGACCATGTCCACTAAGAGAATTCATATTTGAAAGCAATTCGTTGGCTTTTAGAAACTTGGTTTGTATTTTTGTTAGGATCTAAATTTTTACTTGATATTTTTACTTTATAATTGCAAAATGCAGCATAACTTCAATGTAAAAACGGAAGGCATCGAGCATGTCCATGGGCTTGGACACTATAATCCAGGCCATAACCGCCCCATCATTGTGACATTTGGCAATTTTAAAACAAAGGAAGAAATTTTGCGCAATGGCCGAAAGCTGAAAGGTACTTCGTAGAGCATTGCTGAAGACTTTTCAAAACAAACTTTGACCGCGCAAAAGCATCTTATTTCGTTTGGAAAAATGAAATCAGCACCTATTTCACTACGGTATAATACCTTACATATCGGTTCCAAGCAATACTTTTTGACAAATCAAGCCAACAAGTCGGAATTACAGCTACCACGTAACAAGCGACGTCCAAACAAACTTGCTACACATATCGTGATCCACCACTTCTATCAGTCATCTTTTCTAATGTGGGCAGTTTCCTTCATAAACGTGATATTATATCGGGTATCTTGTCATCTTTCGAAAACAACCTTCTTGTGCTCACGGAGACTTGGCTTAGTGATGATGTTTCCAAGCAGGAAATTATCACAGACTTTCCAAACTTTGTAGTGTTTCGCAAAGATCAACAAGGATCGAGAGGAGGCACTGTTCTTATCGCTGTAAATGAACGATTATACTGCACCCTACTCAACGTATCCTCCGAATTGGAAATGTTATGGTTAAAATTCAACATTAGTCTGCAGCTGCAAATTTTTGGTCTTTGCTATCACCCTCCAAACAGTCCGGCTGATTTTCCTTACAAGCTTAACGGCATTTTAAGTCGGCTAACTAAAAAGTATCCAAATGGCCATATTATACTTTTCGGGGATTTTAATTACCCAAACATCGACTGGTCTTCAGCGCTGCCACACTCTAACCAAGCTGGTTCTAAGGATATTTTTGACGTTTGTCTTAACTTTAACCTAACTCAACTAGTCGCACAACCAGCATGTGTAACCGAGGTTACCTAGAACATCTTGGATCTTATACTAACCACTCATCCTGATAGCCTTACAAGCATTGACTGCCTTCGTAAAATTAGGGATCATAAAATAATTCACGCTACCTTCACTATTGCTCCCATCTTGCACTGTACATGTAAAAATACAATTCATCGATATGATCAAGGCAATTATATGCAATAAACCGCGAACTGCATGAATTTTATGAAACTTTTGAATCGCGCTTTCATTTACAGTCAGTAGATAACTGGTCTCTATTTAAAGGTAAACCTAACCGCCTTACAGATAAGTACATACCGAGATGCATCATTCTATCGAACCGACATCAGCCATGGTATAATAAATTCCTTAGTAAACTCGACAACAAAAAAATAAGTTTCTTTCGATATGCAAAAATGAAAGGAAAACAGGGCACATGGGACAGATACTATGAAGCACAATGCGCATATTTGAACGCCATTCGCACAACTAAGCACTCCTATTTTATTGACGTACAACGCATGATGTCAGATAACCCCTAAAAATTTTGGCAAACCATAGATCCTCAGTCGCACTGAACAATCGCTATTCCAAACAAAACCGAAGATTCCTTACCGGACTTCGAGTGTGCTAATTTTGTAAACTCGACTTTTTCATCAATCTTCAACCTGGAGACCAAAACTCTTCTTCCACGTTTTTCTAGCTTAGTCATGCCAGAAATGTCCGACATTGATTTTTCTATTGATGGTATTTGTTGCCTAATTGATAAGTTAAAATTGTCATCATCCGCTGGTTCTGACAAAATCGCATCAACACTGTTCAAAAATAGCACAATCATTTCTGCTTTCTTTTTGACATTGCTGTTTTCTCAGTCATTGACCACAGGTGACTTGCCTAAAGTATGGAAGGTGAGGAAAGTCATTGTGGTCTAAGTTGGGTAATAGAGAATCATCTCTAAATTACCGCCCTATTTCCATAACAACCATTCCTTGCAAGCTCATGGAACATGTCATATATTGTCACATAATGGATTCACAGCATGGGTTCTGGAAAGGACTATCATGTGAAACTGAATTAGCCATCTTCGTTCATGATCATGATTTCAACCTCGACCTTAATACACATGCTCATGTAGTTTTCCTCGACTTCGCTAACAAGGTTGCTCATCAGGGGCTGCTGTCGAAACTTTCACACCTCAACCTTAATCCTAACCTTTTAGGTGGATCAAGCGATTTCTTACTCACCGCTCTCAATTTGTGCAAATAAATAACTCATCTAACCTACTTCCAGTAACATCAGGCGTTCCTCAAGGCTCTGTGTTAGGTCCCCTCCTTTTCTTAATATATATTAATGACTTACCCCTTTGTCTCTAGTAATATTTGCATATTTGCTGACGATTGTGTTTATTATACTATACATAATACAAATGATAAAATGTTGCTTGAAACTAACCTCAATAATATTCAAAACTGATTTGATAACTGGCTATTGTTACTAAACCCTTCAAAATGCAAGGTTATGCCAATAACTTGCTGTCGCACTCTCCTTGTCTCATCTTACATAATACATGATGAATACAACGAATCAGTCAAATCATTCAAATACTTAGTCGTCGCTATAACCAGCGACCTTTATTGGTGTTCACATATTAACGTCATAGCATCTGCTAACGAAATGCTGGGTTTATTTTAACGT